ATTCATTACTTACTTACTGTATGCTGACTTTTTTATGAAAAATTTTTTAGCATTGATTATGGATTTATTTACAGAGCACAAAGTTTTCAGGATTCAAAATGTTGATACTAAGGGAAAAAGGTAAAATCAGTTAACAAAAAATAAAAATAAGCATTGGAAAGCAGCATTATTATTTACAATTCAATTAAATCATCTGATTATAAGAGAGCATTTTTCTTTGATGGGTAATAAAAACAGTTATCATGTCAAACATTTTAGAATTTGCTGCATCCGAGCTTCCACCAGATCTGATCTTGATTGCAATTATTTTCAAAGAATCCTCATCAATTATGCTACCATTTTGTCTTATTTTAAGTGCTTTTCCAGGTTTTACACTTTTTTCATTATTTCTCATGTTTTTCTTATCATGTTGCCTTTTCCAGCTATAGATCTTGTCAACCTATGTGACTAGAATTCACTTTTAAGTGAACTTAATCGTTCTTAATATTGTGCCTTTGCTAACTCTGTATTTTGGCATCCACCAACTGTCTTGAAATCCTGAAAGTAAGAGGATGCTGGGAGAAAAGTGGTAGAAAGAAGTAATGAGAACTGCCCCCTCAACACATACATATCCCCACACGTGACGCATGTGCACCCATTCACAAATAGCAGAACATAAAAGAGGTCTGCTCAGCTCAACTCTCAGTTTCCCATCCATTTCAGTCCAAGACAGGAAGAAAAAAAAAAGCAATAAAAAATTAAAACAAATTTACCACCATGGATAACTATGAGCCATCAAATATTCGCCTCTCATGTGTCTCCTGGGCCTATTTCCCCATCTATAAAATCAGTCATACAACCAAAGAATAAATGGGACCCATGAGATTTCTTTAAATTGACTCCAATATTATGAAATCACATGTGGAGGGTTGTAGCAATTATCTTTATATGCTCTTCCACCGCAGAAAGTGAGGAACCCTCAGGCTGGCATGGAGGGCAATGTTTTTAATAATTTGAAAAATATTTCCTGAGGGACCAAGCATTTGAATCTACTAACTTTCTGCCATGGAAGCCTTTATCTTAAATAATTGTTAACGTATGGTTCAACTTATTTCCTTGTTTTCTCATTACTTCCCTCTTATTTCATTGTGGGGTTTTTTTGCGGGGGATGGGGGGTGGGTAAAGGGGATGTTTTTCAGGATTTTTTGTCTTACATTGGTTCTGTTTTCCCAAACTGTATCACTTTGGTTGATTCCTCACAGAGCCTTTACAGCTTCACGTTACTCATAAAACCTGGCCTCCTTAACTGGGTGAATGCTAAGCGCTTGAGGCTTGTTAAGGATTCGCATTCATTTCTCAGAGTCAGGCCCTCCCCTCAATAGGGGGATGCAGGGGGCTGGGAAAGGCTTATAAATAGTCACAGTGGTAAAGAGAAAGAGGGGAATAGATGGGAGGGGTGCTGTGGAACATAGCGGGAGCACCCATATAGCGGTATCTCTTTAGGTTAAATCATAGATTCGGAAAACTCGAATTTAAAATTGGAGCTTTAAAATTATACCATCTTAATCTTTACCTCACACTCAAAGCTTTTCCTATTCCTCTCCTCCGGATTCCTGCTTCATTAATTGTACATTCTATTTTGAAACTTTTACGTTATTTTTCTCCAGTGACTCCTTCTGTTCAGTCTGCAAAAATGCTTGTTTCTGTCCTAAAAAACAAAAACAAAACCGAAAAACTTCTACGAACCATGCCTTCTTCTTGTTCTCTTATTCTCTCTCTGCTTCCTAATGTTTTTAAAATTCTTCACAATGGTTTACATTCCTGCCTCGGCTTCCTTAACTCTGCCACACTCCCCAGCACCCTGGAATCTGGCCTCCATTCCCCACTACTCTCCCTAACCTTCTTTGTCAAAGGTCGACAATGACATCCTAAATGAATGTCCAGTGGCCTCTTAACTCTCCTTGTGCTTGGCCTCAGGCAGGATTTGATATTGTTGAAACTATTTTTCCCTTGGCTTCTGGCCCAAAACTCTTGTCTACCAGGCCACCTGGTCTCTAGAGCTTGGACCAAAGTTGTTTACATCCTTTGCCTGATATTCTATTGAGCACTTAATTTTTTTTCTTATTTATTTGAATGAGGTCTGCATATTTTTTAAACAGCTCTTAGAGTCTTATGTGAGTTGCAAGTACTTCTCCCATTTTGTTTGTCCTAATATTTATAATTGTAAAAATAATTGTACTTAGCTTTGTTTGGTAGATTCTAGGTTTTTAAATCTTGATTTCCAAGATTAAACAGTAATCATAATATGATTTCTTCTAATAATTTTAAGTTATCATTTTTTGCCTTTAAACATTAGTCAACCAAGAATTAAATTTCTCATACAGGATAACTAACCATTGATTAGAAATTCTCATATGTATTTAGCCTATTTCTGAACTTCTAATTCTGTTCCATTGATCTGTCTATTTAATCTTATACATAACAAAATTTTAAAATTACTGTGGCTTTTATAACACATTAATAAGTGGTAGGGCTAGTTCCTTGTCATTATTCTTCCTTTTCAGACTTTTTTTCGGTTATTCCTCAACATCTGTTTTTCCATATGAATGTTAGAATTCAGCTTATCTAGTTTCAAAAATAGCCCTATTATTATTTTCTTTTTTTGGTCTCATAATCATTTATTTTAACCTAGGGATATAAGACATCTTTACAACATTGTTTTCGATCTCTCCAAAAAGAGTGTTTGCCTTTCCACTTATTCAAGACCCTTTCAGACACCTCAAATTCAAATCTCCAAAATGGAAATGATTATTTCTTTGTCACCACTGCCTACCCTGTTCACAGAATTTTCCAGTTGGAGAAAATAAAATGGTAAGAAACATGCTAGCAGTGTTGAACATAAAATTGGCTGTGTACATTGTAAAGCATAAGTCCCGGCTCTATTTATTCTGTGACATTGGCAAACTGTAATTTTTTCTTTAAGAGAAAAAATTTTAAAGACAGAAAACCTATAATCTCTTTCTTGATATTCACTGAATGATGGCACTACCAACCTGCAGTTTCTACTTAATGGCTTTCTATTGTCATTATCTTAAATTTTTAGTTCATATGAATAAATTAACAGAGATCATTCTCTGTACAAAAATTTACCGTCCTTCATTTATTTGACATTTCAGTCACAATTAATTTTCTTTTAATTATTACTATTATTTAAAAATTATGGAACATAGATAAAGCCTATTTTTTTCCTCCATAGCGTCTCCTCTATGTCTAAGCTGTTCCAACAGCCTTTGTGCTTTTTTACTTCTTTCTCTCATATTCCTTTTGTCCTGTTTCTCTCTTCCCTTGTCTCATTCATAATTCCTGAGCGAAGTTGTCTGGAGTTACCAGCACCCAAAGAACAAGAGAAGCAACCAGACACAGTGTGAAATGATAACCCAACTCCATAACATGATATCTGAGACCTTAAATTCAATGGTCATTGCCACTCTTCCTCGTGTCATCATAGATCACCTTCCCACCACTCCTCATGCTCTAAGCACGCCGTCCTTTCAGTTCTTAAATTCTCCTGAGTCGTCTTTGCCTCCAAGCCTTTGCATGTGTTCGAATACCCAATTCTCCTCCTACCTCTTCAATTTGCTAACTCTTACTCAGCATTTAAGTTTCAGCTTAAAGCATGTCCTCAGGGAAGCATTTCTAGACTCCTCAGATGAGGTTAGGTAGCCTTGTTGTAATCTCACATTACATATCGTACTTTCCATTAATGAAGCTTATTTTTATGCTTGGCTACAGTGGGTCTAGAGTAGACTTTATTCTGGGGATGGGTGAACCATACTAGTAAAGTGTGACTCTTTTGGACTCTCTACTGACTACTACAAATATTCGAGGTATCTCAGCTCTGTTTCATTGGAACTTGAATGTCTCCCAGCCATGGGTGAGCTCAGGGGATTTTCTAGTTTCTAGTTCTCTTATTCTTCTTTGCCCAGGTTTATTGATTTTCACCCATAGATTCAAGTAAATTCCTATGCAGATTTCTGGAGCTCTTTCTCTTAAGAGCCCCACTCTCTCCTATAATTTTCCTTCAAGATTCTAGCTACTCAGCCTCCCAAAACTCTGATTTGTCTCTTCATCTCAGCAAGATCACCATGCTCTGCTTGGGTACTCCTCTCCTACACTGTGGTCCAGAATATGTTTCTACACAGAAAACCAAGATTATTTTAGGGCTTATCTAATTGATTGGTTCCTTTATCTCAGGGGTCACAGTCTCATGCTATCCATTTTTAGTATCCAAAAAAATTGTTTCATAGTATTTATTTATGGCAAGAGAGTAAGTCTGGTTCTAGTTCCTCTGTTATAACTGAAAGCAGAAGTCTCAATAATCTTATTTAATTCTTAGTTTTCAGAGAATCATTTAGGGAAGAAAAGAATGGATGTGGAAAGCAAGTAAAAGGCTATTGTAGCAGTCAGTGAGAAATGGCGGAGAGTGGTATGAACAGAGATGGTTAGAATTACATGACTTTAAGATACATTTTGGGGTAGATTAATGGGAGTTAGGGGCTAAGGAGGAGCGCAGACTCAAAGACTCTCAGTCTTTTGGAGTGAACAGCTTAGTAGATGGTAGATCATGTACTCAAATGAGGAATAATGGTGGAGGGAAAGGTATAGGGAATAAGATCAGAAGCTCATGGTGAGATGCCTATGAAACATCCAGGTGGATAGGGATTGTAGAAGGCAGAGGAAATGTTAGGATAAAGATACAATTTTATAGTCTGCTATGGAAGATGTGTCAGAAAGGGCATCTGGCCATTGAAGACTTGTGGGCCTCATCCATAGTGTAAAGTGTTTATCAGGAAGCAGCAGCCAAGTCAGCATCTACATTTTCAAGCCCTTTTCTATCAAGGTGGGAAAAAGTGACTAGCGCTCACCAAAAGAATATACATGAAAATGATGTGTGACTTCTAGACTGAAATGATTAACAAACTGTTGAGTCTTCCCCATGGTCTCTTTTTTTAATCTTCCAGTTGAATGGGAAAATATCTTGTTATCTGCAAGAGAGAAGATCCATGAGATAGAAGGAAACTGGATATCTGAATTAATGTATAGAAGACCTCCTGACTGGGAATGCACTCACACTGGATTGTAATGTGAGTTAAAAGTTATAAAAGTTAATATCTTTTATTGAATTAAGCCACTGAAATTGTGGTTTTATGTGCTATAGCAGCTATCATTACCTTAATCAATCAGGAGGGAATAAGATCAGCTAGAGATAAAGAGAGAAGAGAAGTTAACCAAGAAATCCAATATTTTATAGTCAGATAGTAGAAGAGAAAGCACCTAGAAATATGTAGATTAATAGTTGCTATAGAGATAAGAGTGAAACCAAAAAAATAATGCAATATTACTGCAATCAACAGGAAAGAGCATTTCGAGAGAATAGGCAATTGGGTCAAAAGTTGATAAAGCTCAAGAAAGACTAAAACGGTATCCATAAGAGTTAGCAACATAAAAGCCACTGTTAATTTTAGCAAGAGCCAATTCTGGGAAAACAGATGAGATGCAAATGTGTGCAAAAATATAAGGCAGAAAAACATAGGTAGAAAGAGATACACAGTTTAAGAAGAGTTTGTTTATTTTAAACTTGGGGGAAATATTATCCCAAACTTAAAACAAAATTTTAACGTAAAGGGGGAAGTGTAATAATGAGGGAGAGGTGGAAGAAACATAAAGGCTAGGTGACCATTGATGAGATGAGGACCTAGATTGAGAATGCCATCCATGTGTATATAGAGGCGTTTGTTTTTGATATAACAGAGCAGCACATTCTCTTCGCTAAAAGAAGAGAGATGGAAGACAGAATGGGTGCAGCTAGAATTACATTTAGAAATACAGTGCAGGGAAGTGGAGGCAGCGCCACATGGTGGCTTCTATTTCCTCTTGGGAAGTTTTCTGCTGCGAGTTGCTCCCTACACTGATGAAGTCAGACAAGCACGAGGGCTGTGTTGAGGAAATATAAAATACTGTGGAAGCCTATGTGATAATCTGGACTTTCTTAACATAGCTTTAATGACTGTAAATACTGGTGTTTCTTTGTCTTTATGAGTATAGAAACTATGTCTATTTTGGTTATTATTGTATCTCCAGGATCTAACGTAGTTCCTGGCACATAGAAGGGGCTTAATGAATGTTTACCAAGGGATAAATGCCTAAATAAATAACTGAAAGAAGAATAGTGTGGTAGCCACCTTCCAAGATGACTCCCAATGATCTTTGGCTCCTAGTATTCACATGCTGTGTAGTCACATCCCACAGTGTACCAGAGTTGGTTGGTGTGACCATAGACCACAGTAGAAGTGAAAGTGTGCCACTCCTGAGGGTAGTTTATAAAAGCCTGCAGCCTCCATCTTAGATCGCTTGCACTGGTAGAATGTCACGAGCAGCACATGGTGAGGACTCGAAGCTTCCTGCCAACAGCCATGTGAATGAACTTGGAAGCGGATCCTCCAGCCCCACTCAAGTCTTCAGAGACTGGAGCCCCAGCCGACAGCTTGACTGCAATCTCATGAGAGACCCTGAGCCAGAGTCACTCAGGAAAACTGCTCCTGGATTCTTAGTCCCCAGAAACTATGTGAGATAATTATGTTAGTTGCTTTAAGTTGTTAAAATTGGGGTAATTTGTTATGCAGCAATAGATAGCTAATACAGATGGTAAGCTATTTTTACAGAACCTTTCAGAACTTGTTCTCTCTTTTTTTGCAGAACATTTCAGAAATTATTCTCCACTTTTACTCTATCAGGAGGGAGGGTTCCCCAAACTTCCACCATCCTTCTTGCCCCTACTTTTGACTGGTACTGTTTCACATAGAGGGGTCTTTTCAGCCTTTACGTCAGTGAAGGAATTAGGACAAAACAAGTGCTCCCCAGTCTCAGGGAATAATTTACATTTCCCCCATTTGTGCACAGAATCATAAAAAAAAAGTCTCCCCTCTTTATAATATAATAATTTTAAGAGTCTAGTATTTCTATTTAGTAACAAAATGTCACATGAGTACAAATTTTGTGTCTAAAGGCATAAGATACCACTCAACTGTGGTATAATGACTTTTTTCTCATTTTGTGAGATATTGTGTAGACTGATACAGAAGGTGTAAAGACTTTTGAAATTGCAATGATTGCCCAATCCACATTGATTTATTGCCATATTTGACATGTTCTTCAGCTTTTCTCAAAAGCAAAAGCAAGTCAGTATAATAAATCATAATTGACACAAGCCACAAAATGCACTTTCAGCATAGGATGACTCCACTAATGCTTAGTTTTGTTCATCCCATTTCCAATTCGAAGTAATTAAAACCTCAGTAATAACAAATACAAAAACAAATTGGAAACTTTATTTTAGAGGTAATTAATTTTGGATGTGATACGATTCCTGCTCAAGTCGAGTATTGATTTTAATTAATGTCTGCTTTCAAAATGAAGCATTACATGGTAAAACCTATCAAGGATAGTTTAAAAGTTCATTATATTTTTCAGAAAAAGTAGCTTAATGAATTAAAAGGAATACTGCCTGTTATTTTGTATATGGGCTTGTCTATTTTCAGTGACTATTATAAATAATAATTCTAGAATAAAAATTTTAATGAGTATCAAGTTGATACAGTTAACTGATAATTTCCCAAATAAATTTTGTTAAACAAAATAATATCTATTTTATAAAAATAAATTCTTACTGTATGAGGTTTCTCACCTTATCTATACAAAATATAGTGACATATAACAACTAAATTTTTAGAGAACACATTGTTTCTTTTAGATATATAAGGAAAGTGCATTTTTCCTTTGTATCTTACTTAAGAAAAATATATATTAAAAAATGGACCTTTCTTCATTTATGAAACTCGGTGAATACTTCAGGATTATTACACATTTTTTGTCAAATTTCTCATATTTATGAAAAATTTGATTGACATAATCATTTACATTTTATATCATAGTATAACTTATATATCTAATTAGCAAAAAATGTTTATACTTATTTTATGTCATATTACCCTATGCCATAGTAAATAGATTGTGATCTAGTTTACATTTGTTTTATTTAATAACTAGAGTGACATTCAATTCTTTGGTTAGATTTGACTTGTAAAAGAGATTACTTTGAAGCACAATTAGCATTGTGAAATTTGCTCTAAAATCATTTCAACACACATTTAAACTTGTTTTTGTTCACCCACAATGTAGGCATGCGTCACTGTACTTTGCATCTCACCCATCCTGAATGACAACTTGAAGAATCAGCATATCAGCCAGGATACTAGAGGACCCTTAATTCTTAATCAAAATCCATTTCTATAATACAAAGAGAGCACATTCTTGGGTATATCCAACATCCTCTTGTGAAAAGTATGTTAAACAGAAGCATTATAAGAATTATAGCTGAAGAGCAGTCTCAATTGCTTATATGTGTGCATGTTTACACTAAAGACTTCAACATTTCCATGCTGTATTTACAGAGAGCAAAAGTGCAACAGATGCATGCGTATACAATATATGTTTCACCTAACGTCCAACTGGCTATTATCAACTGGTATTCATTAAATTGGAGCCTGATAGTTCCTTGAGGGCAGGGACAGACATCTCTCCTGCTTCTTGGTACCCACGTTCTCCCCACCATCCCCATGGTGTCTAGTACAATGTACAAAGCAGGTGATTAATAAATATTTTCAGTTGAGTTGACAATGCCTATGCAAACACTTCTTTCTCAGTCTGATAGCTCTTTATCTGTTGCTAGGCTTTCTTTTGTGGTAACAGGGTTAGAGATATATCACAATTGTACTTATTTATTTTCCCAATACTAAATAATACTCTTAACATTTTTGTTCTGCCAAGAAATCTTATGAAGGTAGACATAGAATAACTAAACCACTAATTTAAAAACACTAGTGTCAACAAAGAAAAAAATGCCGTTAATGGATTTCAGTTCCACTCGGTATACCACTTAGATGGACATCATTGTGGTGTTTGGCTGTTCACACAAGAGAGCTCTCAATCTCCAGACACCCTTGACTGAGGCACGAGATCCTAGACTCACACATGAAAAGGCACAAGCCAGCTCACCTCACCCAGCAACCCACATTAAGCTGTGCTCCTCCAGTGGGGCTCCAAAGAGCAGCACAGTCCCCTGCTTCCTTCTTTGCTTGGAGCTCCCAATCATAAATGCATCCCAGTTAATTTTCATTATATATTTTCACTATACGTTTCATTTTCACTATATCAATGAAATATAATAATATTTCATTACTAAGCAAAACTGACAAAGTTGAGTGATTAAAACAAGGGAAAATCTAAAATTTTTCATAATTCTGTGAAGATCACACATTCTATAAATAGTTATACAGTAATGCTGTCTAATTCTATAATGGTTATCCAGGAACCATGTCTGTAGATCCGACTGCCCTTCTCGGAGGCTGCATAGAAGCCAGGCTGACGTTCTATTCTTCACTTTTACTCCACCTAGAGGGAGAATTCCCCAAACTTCCACCGTCTTTCCTGACCCTACTTTTGATTGACATCATTCCATGAAGAGGAGTCTTTTCAGCCTGTAGGTCTATGGAGGAATCAGGACAAAACAATTGCTCCCTAGTTTCAGTGGATAATTTACACTTCTCCCAGTTTGTAAATATATCCAGTTCTCTGTCTTCTGCCCTGAAAAGGCTCCTTTTCAGGCATCTCTTCTTAACAAAATCCTATAAACGTGAGCGTGCCTTTCAACTCATAATTTCATTTCTGTTAATTTATCTTCAGATGAAAAAATTTCAAAGGAGATAACTTTATGCATTCAGACTTCCACTGCAACAGTATTTATAATAGTAAAAATTGGAAGGAATCAATAATATATTCCCAATAGAGAAATGTTTAAAAATCTTTGATTTAGTCATTCAATGGAATATCATGCAAACATTACATTATAGTTATGCAGACTGGCTTGTAAAGTGTAAAAATCTGCTGTCAAGGATACGAGCAGATATTTTTCCAAAGAAGACATACAGATTGCCAACAGGTGCATGAAAAGATGTTCAACATTACTAATTATTAGAGAAATGCAAATCAAAACTACAATGAGATAACACCTTACACCCATCAGAATGGCTGTAACTAACATAACAAAAAATAACAAATGTTGGAGAGGATGCAGAGAAAAAGGAACCCTCCTACACTGCTGGTGAGAATGCAAACTGGTGCAGCCACTATGGAAAACAGTATGGCAATTTCTCAAAAAATTAAAAATAGAAATACCATATGATCCAGCTATCCCACTACTGGGTATTTATCCAAAGAACATGAAATCAACAAAACAAAGAGATTTATGCACCCCTAGGTTCTTTGCATCATTATTGACAATAGCCAAGATGTGGAAACAACCCAAGTGCCCATCAATTGATGAATGGATAAAGATGTGGTGTATATATACACAATGGAATACTACTCAGCCATAAAAAAGACAATACCAGGGCTGGCCCCATGGTCTAGTGGTTAAGTTTGGTGTGCTCTGCTTCAGCAGCCTGGGTTTGGTTCCTGGGCATGGACCTATATCACTTGTCGGTGGTCATGCTGTGGTGGCGATCCACATACAAAATAGAGGAAGACTGGCACAGATGTTAGCTCAGGATCAATCTTCCTCAGCGGAAAAACAAAAGACAAAATCATCCCATTTGCAACAACATGGATGGACCTTGAGGGTATTATGTTAAGCTAAATAAGCCAGACAGAGAAAAATGAACACTACATGCTTTCACTCATATGCGGAAGATAAACAAGCATATGGATAAGGAGAACAGATTAGTGGTTACCAGAGAGGAAGGGGGTTGGGGGAGGATGAAAGGGGTAAAGGGGCACATATGTATGGTGACGGATAAAAACTAGACTATGGGGGGTGAGCAAGATGCAATCTTTACAGAAACTAATATAGGATAATGTACACTTGAAATTATACAATGTTATAAACCAATATGACCTCAATAAAATAATTTTTAAAAAAAATCTGCTGTCTCTCATTCGATAAGGAATCTGTATAATGAGGATCTTCTACAATAGCTACCAGCCCCAAAATTATGCCACCTCTGCTGCTCTTTGCACCAGTGAAAAGGGGAGCCACATGCCTGACCACACTCACTTCCAAATAGGTCTCCTCCAGGTAATCTGATGAGTGGAATTCCAGCTCGAAGTGAGTCTGAGACATGCAACTTTTTGTACTTTCTAGGCTGTGTATCCTAAAAGGGGTTGGGATGCATATTGAGGAGAGTAATCTACAGGATCTGTTACTGCTGTTAGGAAATCGACAGTTGATTTTATTCTGCATAGTTTTAACAACTAGGTAGGTTGGGAGGAGCCGACGGGGCACAAGGTATAGGATCAATGAGCATTTTTAGGATGTTTAGAAATGATATGTTTAGGAGAAAATATTTATTATTACTTTAATATGAGGATGCTTAATAATAAAATGTTTGCCAATGACCAATATATTCTAAAGTCCAATCAAATTAATGAAATCATAAATGATAAAATTGGCAGGCTGGTGTTGCAAAAAGAGAACTAAGTTAGGGATCAATAGATTTGGGATTTAGTTTTGTTTTTTTGACCAGCTAGATAGATTCCTCAGTAATTTCATAATTTAAGTAAATAACTAGTTACTTAAATGAGATCTCTGAGTTGAAATATTAAAGAGGGGCTTTCTAGGGGCCGGCCCAGTGGCGCCTCGGTTAAGTGTGCATGTTCTGCTTTGGCGGCCTGGGCTTTGCTGGTTCAGATCCCGGGTGTGGACATGGCACCGCTTGGCAAGCCATGCTGTGGTAGGCATCCCACATATAAAATAGAGGAAGATGGGCACCGATGTTAGCTCAGGGCCAGTCTTCCTCAGCAAAAAGAGGAGGATTGGCGGCAGATGTTAGCTCAGGGCTAATCTTCCTCAAAAAAAAGAGGGGCTTTCTAAATTTCTTTCTTATTTTTAAAAAGTGTTAAACTTCACCATTATTATTATCATGATTAACAATCTATTGACTTACCATGTAAATTGTAGTTTATTTAATCTTATACTTGGGAAAAAGAGAAACCACTTGTGCCATATAACTCATATGAGCATAGTTGTTACTCTTTCCACAACAACAAGCCTTGAAAAATTAGATTGCATGAACATTAGAATATTCCACGTAAAGAAAAAAATTTCACCAAACAAATGTTTCTGTTGTGCTGGAATCTCTATGGTGTCTTATAATTGCTCATTACTGATAGGACATTTATTTTTCTTCCTTGGATAAGGAAAGGAGCGAGTATTTACTGACTAAATGGCATATCAGGCCCCGTGTTAGATAGTCCTGCAATGCCATCCTTCAGCTACAGAAAGCATTAAACAATCATACCAGTTGGATTTCCATGGCATTTTAAAATATACAACTAACATTTGCAAACTTTATCCCATTTAATCCTCACAAGAATCCTAAGGGATAAATAATACTAACCTCGCTTTACCAAGGAGGCAACTGAGGTTTAGATAAGTAATCTGCCCAAGCTCACACAGCAAGCAGATAACAGACCAGAATCCAGATGGGTCTCTGTGCCTCAAAACCCACATCGTGCTTTAACTATAACATCCTGGCTAAAGCACTTGAAGAAAAACCTTCGTTAATTGACACCAATCTGCTAGAGTTCCTTCTTCCCTTTTGCTCTGGGCAAGATGGCACAATTCCAGGCAAAGCCCACACTTGCTCCCATTATGTTACTTTCTTGATTGGTGGCCTACAAAATGTAGTCATCCTCCCCTCAAACAAAGATTGAAGCTTCACCTTGGTAAGTGTGCACCCTAGTACGAATGATCAGTTGATAGCAGTACAGCACAATGTTGCTTTATTGTCTTTTACTGTGATTGAATTAGCTCCCAGAAATTACAGCTCTAACTTATTTACATTTTCGTAGAAAACGGTATTGTAAAATATTAACAGGCAGGTGCAAGATATATCAGATGAGGAAACTCTCTTCTCCCAGCATCACTCTTGCAGCAAGCTCGTAAGACCAAAGTGATGGTGAAAATGAGCTCTAGGTGCTGGGCACAGAAGCAATGAAGTTGTCCTTTGGAAAATCTTGTCACTGAGGAAAATCTAGCAGTGCCATATTGCCAGAAAAAAAAGTGGGAGCACTGAAAAAATATGAGACCCTGGTGTGTAAAAAAATAGAGCAATAAATCTATTTTCCATCATATATAAAAATCAGCTCATATTTGAATTTACTTCAGAATAACAGAATAACATAGGAGAAAGAACGATAAGCAGTAAAAATTATTATTGCTAGAAATAGATACAGCCCTGGGGTAAGTTCCTTAAATGGAATCAGCGTATTAAAAAGAGAAGTGATCTTACAAAATCATAAATCATTGATTACGATACGATTTAACCTTACCTCCTGAGAATCTATGATGTGTATATGTGTGTGTGTGTATGTGTGTGTGTGTTCAGGAGATTAGAACTAGGTTTAAAGTTGTTTTAAGCCATTAAGTTTTTTTTTTTTTTGACGAGGAAGATTTGTCCTGAGCTAACACCTGTTGCCAATCTTCCTCTTTTTTTCTTTTTTTTGCTTGAGGAAGATTAGTCCTGAGCTAACATCTGTGCCAGTCTTCCTCTATTTTGTATGTAGGATGCCTCCACAGCATGGCCAATGAGTGGAGCAGGTCCACGCCTGGGATCTGAACCTGCAAACCCAGGCCACCAAAGGGGAGTGTGTGGAACCTTAACCACTCTG